TAAAATATATTTACTTGGATTTGTTTCCTATGCATTTAGGCTTTCCAGAAAGATGACATTGAACCATTGCAGACACAGCTTCATGATATCAACTTGCTCGGGCAGAGCCTCATCCAAAACGCTGCTAAAGGCACCAGCACTAAGAAACTTGAAGATGACCTAGAAGACGTAAACTTGAAGTGGAATACCCTAAATAAAAAGGTTGGAGCAGTTAATGTTTAGGCATGACCTGGTAACATTTGTGAAAACATAACCTATTTTATACTATGATAAAAAAAAAAATTGTATTTTATATATTGTCATAAGCCCTCCTTTAATTAGTGACAATTATGTTCACCATGTCATTGGTAGATTGCCGAGCGTTCTGCGCAGCTGCATGAAGCCCTGTTGCATTGTGGGAGGTTTCAGGATGCTTTGGAGTCTCTCCTCAGCTGGTTAACTGACACAGAGGAGCTCGTGGCCAATCAGAAACCTCCATCTGCTGAGTTCAAAGTGGTGAAAGCACAAATACAAGAACAGAAAGTAAGCCATTGTCACACTAGGATATTCACAAACACACCAGCTACTCTATTTTCACCTCAACACTTAAACGTTAAAACATACAACCAACACTTACTCTACCATTCATCTTATTTAATAGACATCCATTGTGGACTGTGCGTGTGTCACACAAAACTTTGTGCTTAATAGACCTCCAATTTAAGGCTGCTAGATTTACTGTTTTTTTCTAGACAACGCCATAAAACTGTGCTCAATAACTCTCCTGCTTTGTTCGTCTCTGACAGCTCCTGCAGAGATTGCTAGATGACCGAAAGCCGACCGTGGAGCTGATAAAAAACGAGGGAGGAAAGGTTGCAGAACTGGCTGAGTCTGTGGATAAGGAGAAGGTTGCAAAAGAGATTGAATCCCTGGGGCAGAGGTGGGACACTTTACTCAAGAAAGCTGAAAACAGGTCTGTATATACCGATAGGCTTGTAATTGAAAACTGTGGTAAATTAACACACTGTAAAATACACAAACAATTATAATAAACCGTTATTTTATTTGCCTCTGTTTGGGAGTTTCTAAAACTTCCTAAGATACCGTATTTTCTGCCATAAACTTTGCTTTGCCCTATAAGTTGCATCAGTCCAAATATGTCTAATAAAGTGGAAAAATCCATAAATACGTTGCTTCGCCGTATACGTCGCATCTATTATGCGTCACCGCTGATGCGTCGCGTTTGTTATGCATCACCGCTGACAACCCGGAAATGTGGGCCCATGTGCCAAAAATCGATTAGCTGCCAAATGGCGACCGCGGGAGACTTTAACAAGAATTTAACAAGATTAACACCTAAAAACAATTGTTTGTTTGCTCAAAATTATAGTAAAGGTGTGTCTCAGTTTAACTTTTGCTTAATAAATGCACTTTGACGGTCAAATCGGCTGCATTTCAAAACCCTATTTGCGGAAGCAGGCCAGCGCAGAGGGATGAACCGCTGTTAATTTCTTCAAAAATTTAACAAGATAAACACTTAAAAACCATTATTTGTTTGCTCGACGTTATAGCAAAAGAGTGCCTCAGTCTAACTTTTGCTTAATAAATGCACTTTAACGGTCAAATCAGCTGCATTTCAAAAGTAGTCGCTGCCTCGGTGCTCCTGGCAGCGCACAGACAGGGAGGAAAAAAGGGAACAAGAAAAGCACCTAAAACAATTATTTGTTTACTCGAAATTATAGCAAAGTTGTGTCTCAGTTGAACTTTTACTTAAAAAAATGCACTTTAATGGTCAAATTAGCTGCATTTTGACCTGGCATTGCAGTGAAATGAAGCTGATTTGACGGTTGCTCCAAGCAGTGAGCAGAATGAAGGTGTCAGGCTATGGCAAGCCGATTGTGTCATTAATAGCTTGTGAAGATTCTCAGTCATCCAGGACATGGTAAATTCAAAAAAGTTCAAGACAAAAACAATAAAGTACAGTATAATAAATAAAGTCCAGTTTTTGTCTTGAACTTTTTTGAATTTGTCATTATAGCCACGTTTACCTATTACATGATACAATGGCATGCCTTACTACTCGACTGCCATCTAGTGGCTGAAAATGGTAGTGTTCAAATTTTTTCAGTCAGAATTAATGAAAACAGTCATATCTCAGGCAAAAATTGGTTTATGGATTTTTTCCCCTATATTTATAAATATGTTGCTTCAGTCTACAAGTCGCAGGGCATGCAAATTATGCAAAAAAACGCAACTTATAGGGCAAAAAATAGGATAGTTAAACTCATAAACCTTCATTCCTCCTATTAAAGTTTTATTCAGCATTTCAAAATGTGCATATTTCTGTATTTTATAAATAAAATTCAGAGCTTTCCTCATATTCTGAACATTTAAAAAGCGATAGCTATCTTGGTTTGAATCCCCTTCTAACCATACCTTTATACATGCGTCAGGCACAAGCAACTGGAGGGCATCTTAGTGGTCTCTCAGCAG